AAAACATCTTTTTTTCTTTTTTCTCTTTTCCTATATAAATATCAATAATATTTATTTATTAATTCTTTATTTATTTATTCTGACAAGAAGTAAAAATCTTAGCTTTTCCACAATTTTTTTTTCGCAAAATTGTACTACTTTTGATAAAGCAAAAAACGTTTTTGTTTTTTATGAGGAGACAAATTTTCACAGCAAACATATTTGATTCATCTGCGCATGGAGAGCAACAAAAAATATTGTCCGCCGCTACATTTTTCGGAGAAGAGCTTTGAAATGGATTTACGCATGAAAAAAATAATTTAGCTTAGAGATTTTAAAATTTACCTCTGTCAAAGTCACTCTGTCAAGTGAAATTTAGGGATCACCTGTCGTTTATATTTGCCAGCATGTAGGAATAAATTTAAAGCCCTAGAAAACTATAAATTTTGATAATAATAATTTTACATCCACAAGTCTGGTTTTATGAAAAGCAGTTTGAATATTTTTTATAATTTATATTTGAGTAATTATACAACAAAGCATGATTTTTTGACAAAACATTTTTATATCTGATATAAAATTACTTGAGGATAATACAATGGTCAAACAGATCCTGGTTTTTTTTTTACTAAGTTTACCAAAAATATATGATACAAAAAAGTAATAGCATTCCAATCTTTGGCTTAACATTACCAAAGGAAAATGATCTTTGTGCAGGGTCCCACTATTTTTCTTAAGGACCTTTTTTTTTACTTATTTTTTTTAGAAAAAATTAGATATGGAGGACTTTTTTCACAAATTGATAATTGTGCCCCCCCCCCCCACTTCGAAACCGGTGTCGTTGGCCCTGATTCACCAGCAGTAATAAATTTTTGTTAGCAGAAATTCATTTATTTCAAAGCTTTAAAACAAATAATCTTGATTATTAAAACATAACTGCAGTCATTTTGATTTGGCTATTACTCCAGAGTTAACTTTGATATTATTGCAGCAGAATATAATATACATTTTTCAACACTTCTAACCAGAATATGTTATATGTCTGACAATAAAAAAGTACTTAGCACACAAGATATAAATTTAAAATATAAATTAAAACAATGTTGCAAATCTCTGGTCAGATATACACCGTAAAATACTTTATTAATATAGTATATTTAGATTCAAAAAATAATAGAAAGGCTTAATCCAAAATAAAATACAAAGCAAAAACTTAAAGAGTAAAGTTCTACAAACAAAATTCTCATTTGAAAAAAAATTTTGTAAGTAAATCAACCCACAATCCAAAACTAATATTCAAATATATTAACAACAAAAACAATTTTAAAAATACCATTCGAGCTTTAACATCCAATAATGAACTAATTTAAGAACCTAACCAAATAGTTAAAATTATGAATGATCACTTTAATGACTACTTTAAATCAGTCTTACCAGGGAGAATACCAATAATTTACCAATTCTAAAAAATCATATTTTGTCTTACCCTTGTGAGGCAATAATAGATATTATAACAACTGTGAAATTATTTAAAGAAAAAATTCTTCAATTAAATGAATATAAATCTTCTGGACCAGACATGGCAAAATCAATAGTACTAAAATGATGTGGATCTGCCTTTGCTTTACCCCTTGCTTTGATTTTTGAAAATTTGCTCAAAACTGGAAAAGTACCGATTAAATAGACATTGGCAGACATAACTCCAATATTTAAAAAAGGGAATAGGTTAATTGCTAGCAACTACAGTCCAGTTTCATTAATCTCTAAAGTACTCAAAAGTATTATATCCAACACAATATAAAAACATATGTTAAATAATGCTTTATGAAATAAACATCAACATGGATTTGTAAAGGGAAAATCTTGTTTAACAAATCTAATTGAAACAATGAACCTTTTGAGTAAATCGCAAGCAGAAAACATTATTTGTTATATACTTCATTTATTGACTTTACTAAATTTACTTTATTTTATAAAACTACTTTATTTATTGACATTACTAAAGGCTTTGACATAGTATATCTTGAAAATTATTAATCAAACTTAACTCATATGGAATATTAAGTGTCATATGCAACTGAATTAGCAACTTTTTAACTAATCAACACCAAAGAGTGATACAAAGCCAAGCCTTCCCAGGAAAGGCATGCGGTTTTTTTTCACGTATGACCACACGCGATTACACTATTTTAGAAAACGTGAACACGGCCTTTGTAAGTTTCATAATAATGCTGAAAAAGTTTCAAAAACAAAAAAAACTAAACTAAAAAAATAAAATTTAAATAATTTAAATAAATATTGAAAAAATATAGAAAAAAATAATTTAAATAAATATTGAAAAAATATAGAAAAAAATAATTTAAATAAATATTGAAAAAATATAGAAAAAAATAAAAGCAAATTAATAATTTAAATAATTTGTGTACTGTTTTTATTTTTGTTTCTTTAGAGTTACATTCAGCAACAAAAATTAGATAAGGCTACAATAAAAAGAATGATTTTCTTTTTCTTAATTCTTTTTAAGAGGATAGCAAAAATACAAACTGCAATGTGTTTATAAAATTTATTTCTATAACTTTAATGTAACAACAATGGTTGAATTAAGCGAATGCAAAACACAAAATCTGGAAAAATATATAGTATTCAAAATTTTAGTTTATACAAAACCGTGTTCCTTGTTTTTATGGGGAGAATCAACTTAAATTTGTTAGCGAAAAAATAAAACAATAAACTTATGATTACAAAAGTAATAACACTCTAGTCACTAACTGCATTACAAAAGTAATAACACTATAACAGTGTTATTACTTTTATAATGCAATTATAACTTTTAAAATTCATTCTTTGTTCAAGCAACATAAGTATTCCCAAATTTTAATTGAATTAGAAAAATATCTAGAAGAATAAAGTGGATGTTCAAATAATATTAAAACTAAAGTAACTTATAAAAACGTGACAAACAACTTTATGAAAATGTACCGTATTAAAAGTTTAGTATTATGAAAAAAGTTACTAATGGACCATAAAAATGCGCGTTAATTTTAAAATTAACCAATAAAAATTTTTTATTGGTTGATTTTAAAATTAATGCGCGTTTTTACGTAACGTTTTTCATAATGCTATACTTTTTATTAAGTAATTTTTTATAACGTTGTTTAAGTGATATGTGAAAGTTCCTGAAATTTTTAATAATAATTGAATACCTGCTTTATTTTTTCTAAATGCTTTTCTACTTTAATAAATGTTTGGAATTAATAATGTTGTTTGAACAAAGAATGAACTTTAAAAGTAATAAATGCTTTATAAATGTAATAACAGTATTATAGTTTAACTTTTATAATGCAGTTAGTGTCTAAAGTGTTATTACTTTTGTAGTTGTAAGTTTATTGTTTTTGTTTTGCTTTTTGTAACTTTCTCGCTAGCAAACTTTTAATAATTTGCTCCTAATAAACAAAGTCCACAGCTTTGCATGAACTAAAATTTTAAGGACCTAATATTTTACCAGAGTTTCCAAATCGTGATCGTTTAATTTAACTCTTGATATAAACTTGTTACATTATAATTATACAAATATATTTTACAAACAGATGGCGATACATATTTTCTCTTTCCTCTTTAAAAGAAAAAATACATAAAATATGGGAAAGTCATTCTTTTTAACGCCTAAAACCGTTTCTTTTTTTTTTTTTTTTTGCTTTGATTTAAAGAATTTTGTTGCCAATAATAATAAACACTAAGAAAAAACAAAAATAACAACAACACACAAAATATTTAAACTATTATTATTGTTTTCTATTTAAGTTTACTTTAATTTCTTATGTAGTTATTAAATTTATAATAATTTTTCAGCAACGCATATTAAAAAACTTGCGCAAACGGTAGTGATCACGTTATCTAACTTGAAACACGTTTTCGTGGTCGTACGAGACGAAAAATCACACGCCTTTCCTGGGAAGGCTTGCAAGGCAATGAAGTATCAAACTGGGAATGGATAACAAGCGATGTTCCACAAGGATCAGTAATTTCTCCAACCTTATTTATTTTATATATCAACGATTTACCAGAGATTTTAGAACTCTATTTGTAGATGGCACCAAGTTAATCAGGAAAATAGCTAGCTCTGAAAAGTGTCAATTGCTTCAGAATGAAATTAATCAAGCCTGCAATTGGTCAGAGATCTGGCAATTACAATTTAATATTGAAAAATGTCGTAAAAAAAATTTAAAAATAATTATGCACTTTAAAAAAAATAACCTTTGCTATATTTATAAACAAGGTGACAAAATATTAGCAGTCTCTGATACCAAAAAAGATCTTGGAATTACAATGTCATCAAATTTAAATGGAATCAATTGTACAACAAAAGCTTATTCAATGCTTGGAATGTTGAAACAAAAAAATGTTTAAGATATTATATGTAATACATTATAAGACCCCATCTTAAATTTGAGATACAAGCTTGGTGCCCATACATTAAAATTGATATTATTGCATTTGAAAAAGCTCAACGTTTTGATACTAAATGGATACCGCCGATTTATAACAAAGTTATGAAACAAGAATTAAATACTTGGCTTAAACACACTGGAAAAAAGACGTAAAAGAGGCAACATAATTCAAATGTACAAATTATTTAAAAAAATAAATATTGTAGAACGAGATTGTAATACTTTTACCTTATATCAGCCCAACACAAAGGGTCATAACTTTAAAATCAGAAGAAAAATAGTTAAAAACTGCAATATTTTCACCAATTTTTAACTAATAGAGTCTCATCAATGTGGAACAAACTACCAGATTTTATCATCAAAAGTGAAATCTTGAACTTATTCAAAACTCGCTTTGATAAATATCTAGAGCTATATGATTTGTAATTTATAACTTAATTTATTTACATAGAATAACTACACAATGTATATACTGTCAAAGTGAAATTAATTACTATTAATTTCACTCGTAGTTTTTGAACTACTGCAGCTTTCTATTATATTATTGTATTAGTACAAATCAATTTTGTTTAC